ACCGACCAATGTAATTAAAGAATGGTGACTAACTTTACTCAAACTATATAAGCAAAACATTACAGTAAAATTAAGAAGGGAAATTAAGTTTATATCAACTATATAAAGAAAATACACCTGTAATAGAATAAATGGAATTAAGGAATAGGAAAGAATGTGTAAGTAAAACAATGTGTTTTTCATAAGACATGCCCATGTTATTAAGAAAACATCCCCATTTAGGATATCCGCATCCAGAAAGTACAGCAATGTAATGCCTTAGTAAAACACTGGGTGCAAATGGAGTGCACTGGGTGCAAGTATATAATAACAAGCAAGTATTCTTATATACAGACAACATTATAATTTCAATAAATTTATAATTAATAAACTAACAACACATCTTAAGAATAGGATTAATTTTCCCGTATTTAGGCATATTATTTTAGGAAATCTTACAATTTTCACTTTTCTTACTGCACTGGACAATAATTTTGCTAGTTTTAAGCCGTCTTGTCTCAAAACTGAAGCAGCTCATCTTAAATTTGAAAGGCCTAGGGTTGCAGTGTACAGCCCAGGGGTTAGGCAGCTGGGCCTGCATGTAGATGGTTGTGGGTTTCAATCCCTCAGCCAACATAGTAGTCCTTATCCAGCTGTTCTTGAGTCACTGGTTGAACCTACACCCTTTCCCCTCTGACCTTTGCCCCACACACTCCTTCACTTCCACATGCCAGTCAGGTTCGGTTACCAAAGCTTTGCTCTGTTTATAAATTTATGTCTGTTCCTCTCGTGGAGAACAAGAAGTATCCAAAAGCTAGCCAGGTTCTCCAAGGCGATCATTAAAGTATTTCTGTTCCACAGCAGTACAAATAAGCTTACAAGCCATGTGCTGCACAAAATATCACCCTACAATTCACAAATCATCTTAGTACTATAAGAAAGAATGTTTATGGCCACTGCATCTACTAACACAAGAATAAATCAACAGGCTGGAGATGAGCCTGCAGTGAATGGAGAACACCAGCTAATCCCAAAGTATCTAAAGCAGGAATCGTGACAGAAAGGAATCGGAATCAAGCATTTGCCAAAAGGGCCGGAAGGGATGACTGCAGACTCCAGCCTCCGGATGAACATTATCAGGCGATGAAATTTTAGCTCATCGGTGCAGAAGTAAGGCCATTCATCTTAGTTCTGGTGAGGAAATGACTTTGTCCAGAAGATCAGCTGTGTGTCATACAGGGAAAATGAAGTACTTTCAAGAAGTAAAGGAAAACTGCATACATGAAAAAGTCTCAGCATGTCGCCCACGGTTAGAATCACGTGGTCGTCCTGCGGCAGAGCCAGCAGCACACGACCATGCTGGGACCAGGATTTTACTGTGCATTTTAATAATTAGCTCATACTCTTCAATTGAACAACATCCAGGAATATGGTGCGACCTTAATCTGGTGCCCAGTTTGGTCTTAATCACCACCTGAATGTTTGTAAATAAACAACAGATGTGGCTCAGCCTCTGATCAGCACCACTACTTGTTTCAAAGACCCCCAGATGGAACCCCTCTGTCAGGAGAGGGGCCTGTGATCAGACTAGCATCTAGCAAAAGTGCCTCAAGTTTGTAAAAGTAAAGGGCAGCGTGTGGCTCTGCAGGGTCAGCCTCTCTGCCCATAACCGGAATGTCGCTGGTTCGATTCCCTTGCCTGGCAGAGTGATGTCACTGTTGGGCCAATGAGCAAGGCCCTTAGCCTTTTGGCGCCAGGGATTGGGTGACCCAGCTCTCTCACGTTTATGCAGTTTTAGACAAAAGTGTCTCTCAAATAAATGTATTGTAATAAGTTCTCCTTTTCTATCACTTCCCGGTTGCAAAACCCAGAGCAGTAAGTGGATGGGTATGAGGCGCACGGCAGTTCGCTGAAAAGGAGACTAAACAATCCGCATGTTGCTGATGTTTGTGTCTAGTGTGTGCAGGCATGGAAACTAAAGGCCGTTTTGGTTCATGTTTGCCAAAAATCCCATTTAAACAAACAGACCTTTGCCGCTTCTTCTCTCTAACGGCACTTTCCCAGTTTTCTACAAGAACTGAGGCGTACCAAAGCCGAGCAGTGAAAAGATGGTTTTCCATGTAAATTATGCGATCCGTACCCGACTTGTAACCGCACTGACAAGGGCCTGCTCATTATCAGGGCTGAACGCATGACCAATCCGAGCTGGTTGCGTCACCACCATCTCATTGGTTGAAATTAACAAACATAGTGGTGATCTATGTTGATATGTATGTATTATCTGAAGGAAAAGAAAGGTATATTCTATATATTATTCATTACTAGTATAGCACCGCACATTGCAATTCTGGAACTTGAAACTCAGAACTTGAACAATTCCAACCACCTACTTGAAATTGTGGTTGAAGTAGTACGGAATAGCTGAACAGAATGCTAATTCCACTAGCATTTGATGCTAATATAAGGCGATGATTCTCACTATGTGTGAGGAAATTAGCACATAGTAATTCATGATGTATGCAGTGCAAACAGTAAATAAACATCTCTCCAGGTTTATGTCACTGTTGCTCTCCAAATCTGGAAATACCTTTACCAAGCTGACCCTTCTGCAGCGGAAAACCAAAGCAAGCTGGAACCGCACTGTAACTAGTGTCTGTTCGCAGTATGGGTCGGGTACGGCCTGGTTCCCTTATGACAGTGGAAAAGCATCATATGACCTGTGCCATCTCTGGGTTTCCACCCTGTCCCCTGCTTTGCTCCCATTTCTGCCTATTTGGCACCAGCTGGATTCCTCAAACAACCTGCTGTTAAACAGCTCACTGTTGTCATAGCAGGAGATGTGATGGAAACAAATTACCCATGATACCTTTCTGCCACCAATTAAAGTGTCTTAGAGTTGACAGGAGGCTAGACTGCCTGCATGCTGATTCCAAGTCTACACAGTGTACCGTTCAGCGTGGGTGACAATCTTTGTGGGTACATTCAGTTATTTCAAGTTCAAGACCAAAAGCATAAAAAAAGTGAACAAAGGATCTTTGATTGTATCTACCTGTGCGTTTGCTTAAGCTGAGCATAACAGTGTCACTCACATCAATGAGGAAGATTTCAGTTAATTACATTTCTGTTATTTTTCATTTTTGAGAAGGAAGAATGGTTTCAAAGTCATATATAAGGCACAGACCTTGAGAGGGCTTTTTGAAGACCAGGAGCTGAATGGTCACTTTGGCTTCACATGAAGTGTGCCCCCCTACTGGAGCCAGAGCCCCACACACCCTACCACTTCCACAAGCTGACAAATGTCAGCGACACAAGGAATATTTAAGGTCTTACTTACAAGGTACAAACCCTATGAGAAGAAGAATGTTACCAGAATGTTTTCACAAATGAAGTTATTTTTAGCGCCTCAAACAGCAGTATAGGCTGAACCTTAAATGGAATGATTTAATTGTTCTGTTAAATGTTTAATTGTCTCAAGAGCTTATTTGTTTCTTTGTTTGTTTATATATCAGACATTTTATCCACAGCAATGCATAACTGAGAAAGCAGGATCAAACAGTCCCGAGCACAACTGGGGTAAAGAGCCTTCCTCAGGGCCCAACAATGAAATCATTGTACTGACCCTGGAATTTGAACCAGAAACCTTTCAATCATAAGCACACAGTCCTAACTTACAGAATCACATGCCGTGCCTCAAAGAATTAAGCTGGCAAGTACATGGAGTCAATCTGGGAACTCCACAACTCCACACAAATGTACATGCACATGAGCCACATGTCATTAGTAACTATAAAACAATTAAGTTTATAGCTTTTTTTAAATTGCTATTACATTAGCATTAAAATTATGAAGGTGGAGGCTTACGAATCAGTTTCTTAAGAAATGACTCATAAAGAATTTGATAAGTCCAGTTACAATCAGAAGCCTGAAGGTGTCATAAAGAATTTGCCTCAATCCCTGAGACTCAGGACCAGACTCTGGACCAGGCTCAAGACCAAGCTTAGGTCCAGACTCAAGATCAGGCTCAGGACTACACTCTGGACCAAGCTCAGGACAAGGCTCAGGGCCAGACTTTGGACCAGGCTTTGGACCAAGCTGAGGTGCAGGCTCTGGAGCAGGCTCAGCAGCAGACTTATGACCAAGCTTAGGTCCAGGTCTGGAACAGACACTGAACCAGGCTAAGACCAGTAAAATGAGTAGCCAGTTTGCTAAATTTTCGCCTAAAGCTAGCATTGACACCTACCAGCTTAACTGTTCCTATTTATTTTCCCCGAGAAAAAGCTGCATATGGCGGCGGGGGCTCTTACAAGGCAGGACGGCTTGGCTGCCGACAGTGAGGCAGAGGAGCACAATGAGCAGGCTGTTTGCTCACCAAACGCTTCGGCAGGGGGGGGGCAGCTCACCACACACATTGACAGATTACTTTTTACATTAGAGCCCCCCTGAAAAGCAGAGGAGCGGGGCCCCCCAGGTTCCTGCACATCCGTAAGCACACGGTGCCTCTGTCTCCACACCATCACGGGCGTACGCGCCTCTCAGCAGAGCGCTGTGGTAGTGAAACACGTTTATCACTGCCTTGTTTTCCTCTTTTAGTGCCATGTTTATCGTTTCATCCAGTCAACATGCCCTTAGCAAATTAAACATCTATTTCTACATTTCACTGAAAACAGCCAATATTTTGGTATCAGTGTCATATTTTTGTGATTTTACTATTAGCTGCAGATTTTAAACTTTTCTCCAAAGGCATTCCCAGTGTCCCTGCATTTGTATCGCTTATATTTATAGTTCAAGTTGAGCGTTTTTCTCAAAGCAGGGTCCTCAAGATTTAAACCAGAAGTCTTAATTTCTAGCAATCAGTGCTGTGGCATATGCATGTTTTGCATGATAAGTTTATTTCATCGTATATAAGTTTATTTTATTATTTTATTATTAAATATATCCTAACTATACTAACTTCTTCATCTATTCATTAACCTACAGATTGAACTGAAATGAAGTGCAAATTAAAACAGTCCCTTTTAGCATTTGTTTTGTGAATTATTTATTTTAATTTACATTCAAACAATGGTATATGAGATAAGGACAGAATGATACGTGGTGGGTATTGATGCTGTTATTGTACCTAACAGCTAAACATAACCAGGCAGATTGCAGTTAACAAGCCCCCAAAGAGCTAAATCTGAGGAATAAAGAAAAACTCTTTGTTATTGTCATACAATAACTGCTCATGGAAGACTGAATTCATGGGGAAAGGCCCACACAGTTATTCCATGATTTTCAACATTTTTATAATTGTTAAACTTTTCATGTACAATCCAACAGTCAGCAACAAAGACAGTAACAGGCCCCATTGCCATTCAGGGTAGACCCACAGGGTGTTTGCATAATGCTGCAGGCCTAAATAAAGTGTATCCTCAGTTTAACAGGGACACCCCCACCATATAAACCCCAAAGTCCTGATCACCATCAGTTTGTGAACTTGACCCTATTCAACAATACACTCTTAATGGGAATGCATTACAAAGCATATTTTTTATTACCATGTGTTTCTCTTACCAATTCAGTTATAAACCAAATTAAGACCAGATTATGATACTCACTGCACAGTTGACCAGACGGGAGTCACTAACATTCACTGCATTTTGGTAGCCAATGGTCAGCAACTAAATTCAGTTTGGGCTTTAATCATGAACAAAGGTGATTTTTTTTTCAGGGTTTTTACGAAAATTCCTTTACCCACTGTAAAAGTCTGTGTGTGACTGCCGCTCTGAAAGCCTTCACAGTCTTTGCATTAAACCCTCTGTGAGTACAGAGGCAGACTGTGAGGTCACTGACACTGACCCCATCACCAATTAACTCCTCATGGTCACAGGCTGTTGATGTGAAAGTTCACCTGGCAGCTTTTCTTGGTTGAAGATGGAAGAAAAGATATGCTATTCAGTGCTACCCTGACCTCAGCAACTACCGGATAAAGGCACAGGATAAGTCTTAACTTGGGTGGCCCTTTCCATTCCCCAGGGCATCACTATAGAGTTGCCAGAATTGTGTCATAAACTTGTGGGGCATCAATTTCTCCTGAAACTACTATTTGCCCATAGTCACAATTCCCAGCAGAGCCAAAAGTGTAGCTGACCCTGACGATACCACAAGTTTTTTCCTGGTTACCTTTGGTTAACTAGTTTGTTTCTGCTTAATGAACACCGACAATGGTTACCGTCAAACCATTTCATGCATAAGCGAAAAACAGCATTCCTGCCAAGTCACTATTTCCAATAGGATAATGACTTTTTGGAAACAACTGGAATAAAGATTTGGCAATAAACAATCAGTTTTCAGGGAAAAAAAAAAGTTTTAACAGTGTTTCACAGTATTGCCAGGTACTTTATAACAAACATGGAAAACACAAACAGACAGGCAGAAAAAAAATGAAAGCTAACCCCTCCAGAAGATTCAAATAAAATGGTAGTGCAGCACTAATTTTATGCATCAAGCCCCTTAAGCAAGAAAATCAAGTCACAGTGAATCACAGAAAAGAAACAAAAACAATAAGAACAAACAAGTGTTAGTGAAGCATGTATTAAAGTGGCGAAACATCCACTAGCCAGGCTGTATTCCTATACTGTTATATATAGTTGTCTATTGTGTGAATAGTGTCTCATGTCACATGATTCATATAATCCTGATGTTATTTAAGGACAGCACAAGTGAAAAACAATGACAATAAAAACATTTTCTGCCAATTACTGTACACCCTTACCAAGGCCCCACTAATGCAACAGATGTGACTGGAAACGAACCAAGCAAGCCTAACTGATCCCTCCAGAGCTGATGTCTAGACAAACCACAAAACAGAAGACACAAAGTTGCTCCTTTTCAACTCATTAATTAAACAGCCTGCTACTAGACAGCAAGAATACTATCTGTATAACTACAAACCTTCTGTAAGTATTGTTAATACATAAAGAACTGACAGGTAAGAAACACTGACAGGAAACGAAAAGGTGCCCATCAAGTGAGGAGTCCTTACGAGAGTCAAGTTTGCTTTAACGTTAGCAATAATGTCCAACACTGGTCTGACTGAAAACGCTGGAGGCAGGAGGTAGGGCTGCTCGGCCTCGTCTGGCACCATCACATCACCACTGGATGTGGGACGCAGTCACATCTCTGCCAAGTTACATGGTATGATACAATCAATCAAGGAAAGGTCAACAGACTTACAAGAATACACAGTAAAGGTACAATCTGCTACAAGAGTAAAATCTGAATATTTATATAATTATATATACTTTAAACATAAGAAGCATAAGAAGAATGTTTTAGGTTGTGCAAGTTCTTTCGAAAGATGGCAGAACAGCTGATCATTTGAAGACTGTCTCGAAAACTGGGCACTTGTGGGTATTCAGCCTCTTCATTGCCTTCTTCAGCTCCTTGCTTGACTTCTCCCACTTTTGGATGCTCGTCAGAAGGTACTTCTTGTCCACTTTGCGGCCCATGATCAGGTAGTTGTTGGTCAGGTGGTCCAGCTGCTGGCAGGGGCAGTCAGCCCCGTTCTTCAGGTAGAGCACCAGGTTCTTCAGGTCTTTTCTGTTCAAGCTTCCTAGCTTCAATACCTTCTTCTTCTTATGCAGGATGACTTTGCGATCTGAGTTTTCCAGTTTCACTTCCTTAACTTTAGTCTTGATGGCTAGAAGACAAAACAGCAAAAAAAGAAGCAGGCATCAGGAATGAGGTAATCTTCTGATCAGATCTCCATAGAAGTAGGGCTCTACAAGTGCTGAGTACAAATTATCAAAGCTTGAGTCATCAAAGTCTTACACTTACAAAATACCCCCAAGCTCACTCAGACTCATAGTGTATAAAGAAACACTGGCTTTGAAATGAGGATTCTCAGTAACCCTCACTGTCTCATGCAGGGTCTTTTCCAGTCATCAGCAAGTATCCAGCCACCATGTCAGAAATTACTCTATCAATAGTAGTAATAATACTCATGATGGAAGCCATGCTTAAGGCGTCAGAACTCAGACATGAACTATATCATCATTCCTATTCGATTATCAACTTCACAGGATGGTTGAGCAAATTCTAGGTTTTCTGTTCAGTTCTCGGGTTGCATGCAAGGGTATCATTTGTAATGTGGGTCATATTACTCTGTTCAAAGCTGCTGTTAAAGGTTCACTTACAAACACATAAGTTCTTGCTTTCAAAAGAGTCAATTTTAGACCATTGAGATCAATTATAGAAGATCTCCCTTAGAATAAACATTCCAGTCATTTTGGAAAGTTGCACAATGGATATAGTGAGGTAATGTGGCTCAGGGGAGTGCTTTAATTAGAACGCGAGCTGCATGATCCTGGAGAAGGGGGCAAAGGTCTTCACGTGAGACTGTTGAAGGTGAAAGGGGGTCACGTGCAAGGGGTGTCAATACCAAAGCCCAGATAGTTCAACAATGGGCTCAATCAGTCAAAAAGGAGTTCTGCCCAGAGGAAAGAGACAGAGAATTAAGGAAACAGGGTGAGAGTGAGAGGTAGGTATCTGGTATTGTTTTCTGACTGAATTGACAATGAAGAAACCATCAAGGTGGAATCCGTTATCTGGGGAATTTATTTCCCGATGGAGGTCTGTCAGCACCTCCAGCCGTAATGTAACCAAAGGGATCAGCACCTGAAATATGTCCCTGCATCTCCCATATCAACCGCTGAAAGCCTGAAGGGTCCTGCCTCCCCTGAGGTCGTTGAATAAGAGCCTGGACATGCCAGGATCGGAACAAAGGAACGAAGATGAGACACATAACATGAGTCCCTCTGAGCTAACCTGGCCATGTACCACATAGTTATCTGATGACCCTTCACCTTAAAACATATCAGGGTGGACCAGGCCAGGTGTTATCTGAAACGCCAGGCAATTTGGTTGGCTTGCTTCACTGTGGCTCCGCTTCCTTTCAACAGTGAAAGGCAATCTACACTTCTGGTCCCTCTAATCTCTCCTGCCCTCTGATTTCTTGTTGTCACAAGACCATGCCACAGTTCCTTCATTCCCTCCAGTCTGAGGAGCTCTCCTCAACCCAAAAAAGGAATGGAAATAATCCCTTCAACCAACTTCCTGCCCAATCCCCCCACCCCCAAGCTCAGCATTTCTCAATCTCTCATCCTCCAAGCCTGGCCCCCATGGTTCAATAACTAACCCTCCACCTGAACAGAAGCTGACACAGTAGCCTCTCCTTGCAAGCAAATCAAACATTCACCCCGTCCAAGGAAGTGCTCCATCACAAGAATGACGTTCCCCTGGAGCTTCATTCATAAAAATGGTCACCTTTAACCTTTTTTTACCCCCATTGAAATTAAATGCAGAGTAAGAGATATATATCACTGACAGAATTTGCCAATGCTTTCATTATCATATGGCCTAAGACCTAAGCGGCTGCTTGTTCGACAGTTGAACCTGGTGAGTAAGGATGAGTATGACTGACACATGGCCTGACAAGGGCCCAATGACTGCCCTTGAATCTCCGGAGTTTTCCCCACCCCCTTGGGAATCCATCATGTGCTAAGCAGTGTTATGTTAAACATTAGTCTGGAACACTTATCTCTTTGTTTGGTAAAGCTGTCCTTACACAGGGGGGAATTTCCTCTCGATTGTATGAGCACTGTACACAAGGATCAATCACAGTTTCAAGTAAAAACAAATGACTCATAATCAGGTTCAATTTTCTGGGAAAGTGCTTAAAGTTCTGTGGTTTTAGGTTTGGTGCAAATGAGGACCTATTTGTCATATGCGACCTCAAGCCGCCCTTCTGAGTATGACCTGAGCCCAGAGAGCTGGGGTCTGAGACCCACGACGAGGTCCCTCATCTGCAGGCATAGTGAGGGGGCAGAAGAGAGCCAGGTTCTTTTGTGAACTCCAGAGCACATGGCAGAGAATGGACCTTCTGTGTCATCCACCTCCAAGGGATGTATCTATAGTCAGAGGGACAGGACCACTTTCAATGGCCAAATGAAAAACTAAAGCAACATTTTACAGTGTGAAGAAAAAAAACTAACATATTATTCTTACTGCATTACCGTTAGGCCATGCATAAACACTTTAAACCATTTTAAGAGATATAAAGCATACATTTGACCTTTTTATAGAACCAGCTATCTTCTGGAGTGACACCTACCCTAGCAGCCAAAATCTTGAGGTCCAAATCCAGACTCTTAAAACGCAATTTAATATTTCATTACAATAGGCATCCATCTCCTTGGTCTTAAAGGAGAATTCCATCCCAAAATTATGTTTGAAAAAGATCTTTCATAAGGTATCTGAGTAAAGATATATTATTTCATGAACATAAAACTGGCCTTTTGCTTTTAATACATTAGTCTTGTTTATAAAATATGTCTATGGGGAATAAAATTTTACAACCCATTATTCCCATTTTATTGCCTGAAAAAAACTAAATATGTGGGATTCTGTTTGGATTCTTGTAATGCTGAACATTGTAAACCACATAAAAATGACAGAGCTTTGCTTTGACTAAATGTGACATTAACAAAAATACAGCCGAAAGCAGAAAGTTTAGTTCATGAACTTATCTTTGCGGCAGACGGCAAGTTACGGGGATCGGCGAATGACTCCTGAGGGTGACAGGGCCACAAACGCTGGCTTCCTGAACCAGTTTGCAGTGGTAATTCTGCAGTGCACATTACAAAACAGCCGCCTTGGTGTGTGTCTCAGCATAAGATACTGTACATAATGTTCATTATCACATTTTACATCCTTTCCTCCCTATTTTTTGCACCACCACATCCGTGTACAGATACATATAAAATTTAAATATACATCTTGTTTTGGACTATACGGAAACATGTCCCTCAAACACCGAGCATTAAAGCATGACCACATCCAAGTGGGTATTTTAAAAAGCCTGTTAGAATCAATGTTTATGCTTCGCAGATGTCTTCATCCTGCCAATCAGCCCAATTAAACAGCTAGTTTTTTAAAACGCCTATGACTCGGTCACTTAAAAATGTACCATTAAAGCTCGCCTGTGGTAATTCTAAGCACTAACGTCATACTTATTAAACTTGTCGATCTGCTACCGCACAATAAACATTTTGCCTACAGCGCAATGAATACTGTTTTAGTGAAATACCTGACACAGTATTGCATACAAAACAAAAAAGTTCGCAAATAACGCATTACCAATACTGACACTACATTTGTGCACCTGAAACTATTTATGATTAGGCCTATGCAAGCAAGCATTTCATTGTACACGGCACTCGTACTTGTACACATGACAATAAAAGAATTGAATTGAATATTGTCTGTTATACAGAAACTACAACGCCTTTTTTTCTAAGGGAAAAACAGCCAAACTTAACTAAGAGGTACATTTCTGTACGTGCTCGGCTTCATATTTATGTCTCAGCATCACAATTTAATAACACGACAGTTGCATTTTTAATTTAAATGAACTGATATTAATCAGATTAACACAGGTTGTCTCTGCTGAACTATGTTGAAACTGGTTCAATGAAAACTGCTAGATGAGACCCAGCCACAGAAATAAAGCAGAACAGAGGGGGAGTATAATTTACGCACCTATAAGATCCCCGCCGTAGTTCAGCATGCATTTATAGAGGTAGACTAGACTGTGCAGAGATATATATACATACGACTGTGCCAACAACAAACCTTAATTTATTTTGATCAAGAGCTGAAAACGAAATTCAGATGCACCTATTCCTTTTAGCAAGAAAAATTGACAATGAAGTTTTGCACAATGTTTTATCCCCTGTGTTGGTTACAGTGGCAATTAATTTCAGGAATTTCTAAAGGCAAATCAAAAATTAAAGCAACACCAACTTTTGTTTTCATTCACCCCTTAAATGATTCACCCGTCAAAGACATGGTACAATAAAAATAACAGCTTTTTCGAGTGAATAATTTTTATATTATATATTAAACTTTAAAAGACTATGAATTTTTCTGACATAAGCTGATCTGGATAAATTAAAATAAAAACTGAAATAAAACTGCTCTGAAGGAATTTTACAGTTTAATTTTAATGGTGTAGCAGATAGAGATTTTGAGGTCATGTTATCTCATTAAACTGGTCGTTGTCAAGCTACCTTACTGGTCCAGCTTTATACCCTGAAGGTGTCAGGGCCTGAGCATCACATCATAATCTGAAATTTCATTTAGGATCTACTGTTTGGCTGTGGAGAGAACATGCTCATAGTCATATACATTTCATATTATTGTAAAGCTTGAACCTAATTTTGTGTGTATAAATGTTTGTGTGATGTAACGAGACGTGTACTATTTTTACTGGACTAGGAGGATAATAATAAAGAAAACCACTGTGCCTCTTTTATCTTTCGAGCTGTAACACTTAGTTGTGTCCTTCAAACTAAAATGAATTGTGGTACCACTGGCAACCCAGTAAAGAATTAAAAATGAGGTTTCTTCACAGTGGAGCTTAAGATTCTTACACCGCATGGGCCTTTCTGCCTGGACTTTGAATGAACCTTCTCACTGTCTACTCTTGTAACATTTTTATAGTGTAGGACTTAACTGCCTGGAGGTCCAGCCTTGCCAGTTCTGTTTGGACAAATCCAAGCCAAACTCCGGTCCAGGTCAAGTTCTGAAAAGTGTTTTTCATTTCATTGTTAACAGCCTTCAGCATTAAACCTGGCCTGAAAATCCCAGCCGAGGCTTGCGTAGGCATCATGTTAGGTGAGTAGAAATCACCAGTGTCCTCGTGCCCAGTAACTGAACAAAAATACAAAGCCATGTTGCTTAAGGACAGCATAAACGTTTGTTGTGATGCACTAACAGCAGCAGAAGGCCCTTAGAGAGGCAGGCTGTTTAAGCATTTGGTGTCAGTGAGGTAAGGAGGGCACAAGGAAACACTGCAGTACTCAGTAATGCACTGTAACACAAGGAAACATACTGCAGTGCTCTGTAATACACTGTAACACAGGAAAACAGACTGCATCGCTCTGTACCGAACTGGAACACAGGGACTGCAGGACACTGTAACACAGTGAAACACATGGCAGTGTCCTGTACATCAAAATGAATGCACCACAACAATTATGCGTGCCCAAAAATATTTAAATGCACAGCAAAACATAGTCAACACAGCCAGACGAAGTAAGACGGAGCAGCACACTGTGCTGTCTGATATCACATCACCTCTTTCCCCTACATGAAGATGCCCAGTCCTATTCCAAGCCACAGTAATTCATCCATGGTACAGCATCACTTGTTAAATCATTAGATCATTCATTGTGCAACACTACTTATTAAGTCATTAACTCATTAGTTGTGCAACTTTAGGTCACACCTACTACTAGTTTTCTATACTAAATGGAGTTTTGGGGTCGAGTTGGGGGCTGTTGCCACACAGCATGTCCCCACATGCCACCAGACAGGCACTGGGGCATGCCAAAGCTGTGCCAATAACATAAACGAGCTGTCACTGCAAGAGCCCAAATGGTGGACCACAATTCCTCTTTCAAAGCCTGATTTCGCTAAACCCCACAATTCTACATATGGCAGGAATAATCTTAGCCTGGCAAACTGCTCTGTTTTTTATAAGTGTTGCTTCTTTTGTTCATCAGGCCTGTTCATGTCCAGCATAGGAACAGAGCTTCTTGTTTGGGAGTCTGTCTGCTTGGCTCATTTGCAGACGTCTTCACCTGTAAGCGAGCTGCTAATTGGAACAAAAATGACGTTTTTATTGAGCTGTGCTTTTTGATCTTTTACACATCAATGTTCCCAATTACTGAACATTGTTAGTGTGACCAAATAGTTTGCCTATTACCAAATATATGCTATTTCCATGGCCAAATGTTAAAACCAACCTTATTTAAAAAATAAAAAAAAAAACAGATTTTGCGTTGGAAGACCATAAGCACCAAATGATAAATCAAATGTATTAAAATCCACTGTTTGTGTTTGGAAATCATGCATCAACCATGCACAAGTCATGGAGCAGTCATGAAGAATGACACAGAGCAACAATGGCTGATAGTATGATATAAGATGGGCTGGTGTGCCAGTTTGAATCATGTGCCAAGCAAAGTAATTTCACCATTGGGTCCTTGGGTAATGTCCAGGCACCCAACATTTCTGCTCAAAGAATCAGCAAGAACATTCCTGGCAAAACAAAGCGAAAAGATGATAGGTTCCGATATTCTTGCTGAAAACAAATGGAATATGAGTTTATTGTGCAAAATCAGAATTTTCTGTGGCCTGGCACCTTGAATTAATTAGAAAAAATGATATCTATGAGCACACTCACACACAAGTCTACCCCTCACAATTAGATGGGGGGATGATGAGGAGACAATGAATGGAGGTATTTAAAAAGTGCCATTCCGTCTCCTGCATGCCATGCTCTCGCTCGCTGCCATATTTCACCATGGTTTTAAGGGTGTGCGTGTTGTACGTCGCCGCGAAACCCAAAAGCGGGACAAACACAAACACACACATTGGACTATTGTATAACTATGATTCATATTATTGAAAACAAATGGAAGATATGGTAACAGGACGAAAGAGGGAAATCACATATACGGCACAGTGACACAGCAACACAATGCTGAAAATGGGATTCTGGTTCCATTACATGACATCACACTTTCTCTGTCACCATCTCTTCATAAAAAAGTCCCTCCATGCCCCGCCCCCAAAGCCCTGGCCCGCCCAGTAAGTCTTCAGTGATTGGACGGCATGTTTGTATGTAAGTCGCATCTTGGGAAGGAGGTGGAAACTGACCTGGGTGGCCAAATGGGAGTGAGTAAAAGCTGCTGGGATGCCAGGGGGGGGGGGCATAATTTATTGCCCGGGACAGCTGCTTAATGAAGGGTGTAAGTGTCGTGGGGAATTACACCCAATTCATTCGTCACAGGGTATTACACCTTTAAAGAGCTTGATGGAGCATCACATGCCTTTATCAAGGCTACAGAACAAGCCCCAAATAGCGGTGGGGGTTGTAACTTGCAGTTAATGACCCCAAACTTATAAGGGACTCCACAGCTAGTCTGTCCAGACCGTGACCCTTACGAGCAGCGTGTTCCCTCTGCATCTCCCAACACTCACACCTTCTCCATATGCAGTACTCAGATATCTTTTTGCCCCTATGCTGGATACCTCTGGGATCGTTCATGCCCCCCATGTATCTCAGGGTCTTATTTAAGCGTATTTGGGTAAAAACTTCTGCTAAAACTGGTTGTGCTGTGAATCCCGGATTTAACCAAAGAATCACTGAAAGATTCCCCAGGCTGCAGTTGCAGGTAGAGTCAACTTAACCCTCTGGAACTCCACCGTGGAAGGTGACCTGGCAGCAGAACATCTACATGGCATCTCGGGGAATGCAGACTGAGGTACATCATGCACACTACCCTGCCTCCACGAACCATGGCAGAAGGTGTGCTCACCCCCCCCATCCTGGCCAGACCTGCCAGGCACTGAGACCTGATGAAATGGCTCGACTTCAGACTGCTCAAAGTCTCGTAAATTCTTCGGTAATCAGAGGCAGCCCTCCACACTCCTGCATCTCACTTGACTGGGCAGAGGAGGTTGGGGTGGGGGGGGATCATTAAGCGGGGAAAGGGGGAGAGGACTGCCAAGAGATGGGGAAGAGAAACATTTTAAGTTTCTTTTTGATCTCTCATGAAGTTCTTTCTGGTTCCAGATCTGTCGTTCTCCATAGACAGTGTGCCATCAGGGGTAAAGAGCTTCTTTGTCTGTGAAGTCACCCTAATGTCCCTGAGAAGTAGGCAGCACCAGGCACTAAGCCCTTCAAACACAACAAAGTTTGGTATCTTTGCTTTCCTCTGGTCCTTTGTTACCTTGCTGAGGTCATAACACATGTGATCCATTTTAATCTTCTCTTCCTTTCCTCTTGCAGACCCATCAAAACTCACAGGATTAGGTTTAATCCCAGTTTTTTTTTTGTTCTCGTCCTGAGCTGACTGGCCAAACTGTCAAACCCAATCGGTAATTATGAAAATGCTTGCGTCACGTTAATTAAAGAAGTGAAACATGCCTACTACAGGAAATGGCTCGGCTCATTACTCATCGAAGGTGGGACTTCATCTGTCTGAGCAAACAGGATCTGGATCTTCCCCAAAAAGCCCCTCCCATTATTCCCAGCATGTGACGGGTAATGCCCCACACTTCACCAGCAACCTGGGTGATGTGGCACAAAAGCTGGGGTTGTGTATGATTGTGGGTGAGTAGTCTGCGGTTCTGTCCAGAAGGTTACTGGCTTGAGTCCCATGCCCAGTAAAGTAACCATATAATGATTGGGCCCTTGAGCAAGGGCCTTAACTGGGAAAACAGCACCGTCATACTGAAGAAAATGGCTGACCTAACACTCTAACCCCGAGCTTTGCTGCCACCTACATATCGGTGTGTCTAATATCAGTGGAAGACTAGAAACGTGAAAGCCAAACACCAAGCATGTGCTTGTACAAATGGCAAATGAAGTATCATTATATTCTTGCTCAATAAACATTTAATCAATTTCATCTATTTATACAGCTGGAAATTTTCACCAAAGCAAGTCAGGTGAAGCGTCTCACTCAAGGCTATGAGGGCCCTCTGTTCTTGGGATGTATTTCGACACCCGAAGCTCTTTCCCCTGCCGTGGAAATGTGGGGAGGTGAGATGACTTACCGAACTCACTAGCGCACACGTGCTCCAGGATGATGTCCATTTTCAACTGATTGTCACATGGTGGACAGACAGGCTCTGTGGCTGTGAAAGAGGGAGAAATGGGGATATGGTTAGGGGGGGGGGGCTGAGGGACGGGGTAGGGGGGGGTCACAGGGCTGCCGCTCCTCTATTATTCCGTCCTGCTGACTGGTCTATACAAACCAGCAGGTTTCCAAAACACAGAAGGCAGTGATTGCCCCGGCGGATGCAAATCTAGCACCCTCATCAGTGCCGCCCGCTGACATCAACACCCAAAATGGGGGTGGGGAAGGGGGGGCACTCCATGCTAATGTACGTGGGCTCCCTGAGCAACTTCAAATGTTTATGTTTTAAAGTATTTGCCAAATCAAGACTCATTCCGGCACAGAGGTTTCATCCTGAATACTTCTGCGATACCATAACGAAATTCGGAAAGCATTTCCCCTGTTGTGCAAGCTGGGAGGAGTGTGTTCGGGAAGTGAACAGTAAAGCAGCCCTGGAGCTTTGTTTGTGTGCCAATGTGAGCTGGACACCTCATCAGGCTCCTCTGAAGGTGCCTGAAACTGCACATTATTACTGCATTGTTCGTTAAGATAATGCCCTCCATACACACAAACATTTAAAGTTTGCAGTTTTATATTCCAAAACTCCTTTTTCGGTGTTCATTATTTGATTTGACTCACCGATGAAGCAGAATTATAGGAATTACAGCATCAAACATAGTTCAGCATTACCCACTAGGGCCAGCAGGTGGAATGGCAGTTAAGGGCATAGAAGTAGAATTAGAAGGCTGTCCAAGTCCCAGGCTGCCGTTTGCTGTTATACAGTTGAAGACGCATAACTGAATCGCATCTGAATTAAGATGTCCAGCTGTGGCAGCAGCTCACTTCGTAAATCACATGCAGTCTGCTCAGCATGAGTGAAAACTGAGGCACCGTGGGCAGGTTTGGCTTAGTTTAACAAAGACTACATGGGCTCTGCTAATCAGACATGAACACAGCAAGAGGCAGCAGGAGGACAGACTCAGGAAGACAGTCAGACGTCGGCATTCCTTAGCTTTATAGTGTTACTAGTCATATTTTCCCTGTCTGATGAATATAATAATAACAATTACTCCCCTCTTTTCTTTCTCCTTCTATTCCTTCCTTTCTTTCTTTTTTCACTTTTCTCTTTTTATTTTCTCTTTCCTTTCTTCTTTCCAAAATGCAGGGACACACATGTGCCTTTTACTGTACTTCTGTTGCCACTGGGTCATTCTCAGATGGCACTATTCCACTGGCATACAGGAACCAAGCCGTACCCAAACCGTACCGTGAAGAGACACTAGCTACAGGGTGGTTCCAGCAGGCTTCGGGCTTCCACTATAGAAGGGTCGGCTCGGTGAAGGTGTCGCCAGCTTAGGAGAGCAACAGTGATGTATAACCAAAATCCTGCTAGCATGTCTGTGACGATCGCCATGCTATGTTAGCATCAAACATTAGCATTAGCTTGCGTAAATATGCATCACGAGTAAGTTCCATTTGAAAATTTTCAAGTTCCAAGTTATCGGGAATGCCTCGCAATGTGCAATACTACTAATAATGAATAACATAAAGAATATACACTTTTTCCTTCAGATAGCCCATGCGCAGAACAGCGGTATCTCTGTGCACCAATCAGATGATGGTGACGCGACCAGCTTGGTTGGGTCACGCTTTCAGCCCTGATAGTACGCCTTGCGGTATGGCTCGGTTTTTGGTGACAGTGAAAAAGTGTCAAGAGTTCTCTAAACTAAGGGTTGCTGCTTCTTACGGGAGGTGTTAAGGTGGTGGAGGTGTTAAGAGAGGCAATACACAAGGTCCCAGTTCAGTCACGGCGGATGGGGGAGGGCACGAGCCTGCTGGATTCAACCGTTCTCCACACTAAACCGAGTATGTCATTGTCAACAGGGTGATAAAGACATCAAGGGCCTAAACGGCTAACAGCCCCAGTGAGTAGCATGCTAATTAAGGAAGGACTCGGTATGAGACGTGGACAAATGGCCTGTCCAGTTAAGCCGACACACAAGCCCAGGCTGCCCCCTTTGCACGCTCCCCTTTGTCTGCTTTCATGCATACAATTACACGCTGATACTTCCTCCTGAGAAAACACGCAGAAGCACTACTCCATGTCAGCTGTGTTTCTTCCAAGCTTTCTCCATTTTTTTTTTTTCACATTTCATGAATAGGTGCATTAAACTGTGTCACATTCAACTGTACATCAACTTATTTAGCAAAAGCTTTCACGCAAAGTGACGTGCAATTGAGGAAGGAGAGTCAGACAGTCCATGGTGCAACTGGTCCAATAGTGACGTCACTTTGCCGACCTGGGATTTGAACTGGCAACCCTTCTGATTGCAGGCACAGCGTCCGGACTAGCCGAGCCAAATACCACCTGCGTTAAATGAGCTGCAGTTCTGGAACCAGAGATGCTAGATAAATTATGATTTCAAATCATATGTGTACACGGAATGGAAATTATTTTGGGGAAAAAAGCCAAACTACGAACCATCAGCTGTATTTTCCTGTTGCCCTGAAATATATAACAAGGAGACGCAAAAACATCTTTACATCTGCTGGCCTATACTACTGTACAGGAAAGGCACAATGTTTTGAAACTGTGTCAAATCACAAACACGTCAATGCTACAGAATTGTGGGGGCGTTGTGGTGAAAGGCTGGACTTGAGATGAGACATTTCAGGTTCACTTCTCGGGATTCTGCTGTTGTACCTGCACAGGAGGTTTCAAAATCACCCCCCGTGTGAACTCCAAGCAAGATGCATAAGCAGATGTAAACACGTAAGACAGAAGCATGTAGAAGCACTTTAACCACACAGACATGAAGCTCAGGTGGGCACGGATCATTTGATGTACATCCTCACAAAAGCGCACACCCACACATGTAATTTGCTGACCGGAGCAGGGAGGGGTTAATTTTTACTCCGTGGCTACATGTCTGATACATACATCAATAGTCTGAGGCACACACGCATCTCCAAGGTCCAAAATCCTCCCAGCACCCCCCACCCCCTGCATCAGGTAACGGGCCAGCAGGATGTAGGGTCACATCCCTCCCTCCATCATCCTGTTTGAAAAGACACACTAGGGATCGACTCTCAGGCCTGCATTTCAGTTTGCTGCCCCCCCCCCCACTGCTGAGTGCCTCCCTTCTCACAGAACGCAGAGTGAGGCCTGGTGACGACCACCAAACACATGAACGGCCGCTTTTGACATTATCACCTGGGACAAAAGCCAAACACTGCTAAAGCCATGACCACAACCAGCTCCTACTCCGCCTTATACCCACTGGGTGTGCATAGCATCCCGTAAAATGCACACGACTCTGCGCTTCCCTCCACACGGCTGTAAATTGGATTAATTTCTAACACTCTGGTTAACTGCAATGCTCCATGGCGGATCAGAAGGCCAAAAGAAAAAAAAGCACGTGAACTGTGTAAGGTCGTCAATTCTGAATCAAATGTATTTTAACTTAGGTAGCAGATAGCATAGCTTGAATGAAAAATGTTTTTCTAAATCCCCAAAATACAGATATAATCTTCTGGTTAAGTATCGTGGACCAGTTGCTCACCCTCAAACTTCATCCTGTACGCAGTTACATGAAAAAGCAAAGTGCTATAGGCTGGAGGATGTGGATAATGATGTCTGAATAAATAAACACGGTAAAACTGTTTATTTATGAGGAAATGACTTGACGCCTTTGACTGAGTACCTGGGATGCGCCGTTTGGTGGAGCTTGCGTCAGCATGTTGAATGCTTTGATAAACAAGAGCTCCTTGAACCTTAAAAAGGTGCGATTTTCCCATCTGCATCAGATTTGCATAAATTATCACCCACCGATGGCCCCTGTTGCTTGCCCAACACAGGAACAAGGCGAAAATGGTTAAGGATGAGACTGTGAGATACCTAAAGCAGCATTCTGCTAATTACTATAGAGCCACATGCAATTTGGACGAAAGTGCAGCTCATTCATCCAAATTCCACCTGCCCCACCCCTAGCTTCTGCGAATACAGTTCTGTCAAATGTCATCAAATGCATGTATCTCCATCACCCAAGCTGTGGGGACCTTTTGTACCATTATATATTTTGCTATGAGAGTGGAAGCTTGGAGCCTGTGTGCAGGAGTGGTGGATACCCATCTTGTAATACAGTATTTCCCAATCCGCTCCTCGGGGACCCACAGTCGGTCCACATTTCTGCTTCCTCCCAGCTCCCTGCCAGACAGTCCACATTTCTGCTTCCTTCCGGCTCCCGGAACTGAAACGTGAACTGTTTGCGGATCCCCAGGGACCAGATTGGGAAACATAAACACAGGTGGAATGGCTGAACAAGTCAAACAGCCCTGAACACAGTTAGAGTCTTAACATCATGGGAAAGTCACATGACCTACATAGCCCCAAAACTGGCCAACATTACCGGCCAATTAGATTTTCCCTTTTCAGCTTTTGATGTTTGTTTATGGTTTGTTTATGGTGTTGAGTTCTTACAGACACTCATGTTTGTTATGTCAAAGTCATCAGTTGTGAATCACAAACAAACACTGTCCCTCACTTCTTCCTTCTGCCAGTCCTCCAAGGGGACCACTGGAAAGTTACCATTCGTATCTGAATCACTCCCTCATGGTAATGAAATCCAGCTCCTGCCTGACATTACATCCAGCAGCACTGAGTGCCGTGCTCGACTGTAGTTGCCCATGTTCTGGTACAGGAGGTGGGCAAACGCAAAGAAATCACATGACCAGATGACCAACCCCCCCCCCCCCCCCCCCCCCCCGCCCAAAGCAGCCTGCTAAAAGACTAAAATGACTACCAGCTGTTTAGATAACAAATATAATATTGGTTTCAGATGAGACTTATGGGAGGAAAAATAAAATCAGGATCGGGAAAGGAGCTTCCAGGAAACACTGTAGGCCTCGAACCACGTCGGAGACTTTATATCACAGGCGGTGAGAACTGGACACTTTAAATAATTGGCTGCTGTGTGGCCAATGAGAACATCCGTGCCCTTCCTAGCCAGAGTGACAGAGCCCTGTCTGACCTACTACAGGCAGTTACTCATAAACGGCCTTTCAGGACCCTGGGTTTTGGTGACCCTTTCTCCCGCAGGAAAAAGGTGTTAAAAACTGTCAAACACAACTTAAAACACATTTAGTAGAAATGCTGTCATAAAAAATATTTTCTGATTGACCCTTAATTAAAGCCACTGCCATGGACGTAAAGGGCATTTCTCAAGAAAGTATGCGAGAAATATTTGTAAGAAATACATGCCTGAAAATGAAATTCACACAATTTCAGGCTTATGTGCTTCTGAGTAAAGGCGTAAATCTGCATTACTAAAAGTACTGAGAATCTGTCACCCTGCAAGTAAACAAACAATGGATGAGTACCAATGGTTGAGTATCAATCGTACTGTGTGCCACTCACACCCTGCAATCCAGTCACAAACAAAGAGGTATAAGTCTGGTCAGCTAATTTTTCCTATACCACCACACACATGACCCACTGCAGGTTTGCTGAAAGGCAAAACAGGCATTTCCAACGTGGTTTAACCTGGTGCAGAATGGCTGTTAGGGAAAGTCGGATCTTACCTGCAGATCCAGAGGTATCCGTGGCGTTGGCGCGGCTCATGGCGATGCACATTTCTTCGTCTTTGGGGAACTGGCTGCAGGAGAGCATCTCGGGCCAGGGGAAGCCAAACGCCTCCATGATAGGGGTGCAGCTGTCACGAACAGCCTCGCAGAGCCAGCGGCAGGGCATGACGGAGTGATCCAAGCACACGGGCGCAAACAGCGAGCACAGGAAGACCTGCGTGCCAGGATGGCAGCCCTTGTGCACCAAAGGTACCCAGCTGCCGGCCTGCTGCTTGACCTCCGCCAGAGTCTCATGTTCCAGCAAGTTGGGCAGCAGCATCTGATTGTAGCCCACATTGTGGCATAGCTTCAGGTCACTGGGGATGTCAATGCATTGAGGCTTCTTCCCATAGGTGGGGGGATTATATGACTTCCATGTAATGAATTCCTCCTCGGAGGTCTGGGTGCATGTTATGCCCAGTGTTAGAACGAGGACCTGAATCAGAACAGCCGGTCTCCGGAGGAGAAGCGAAGAGCACTCCATTTGCTCCTGCAGGGGAAGAGTGATGTCAAAGTGAGCGTGGAGAACTTGCTGAATAGGAGTTAAAACCACGGCTTGCTCCTGCTCTGCAGCTGTGCAGCACTGACAGACCAGACCGGACCCGACCACACCGACCGCCTAGGTGTCATAGAGTAAATCGCGCGCAGCCCAAGAACAAGAGGAGCCTCGGAAGCACCTCCTGGCCAATAGGAGAGCGCCATTGCCTTTTGACACGCACACGTAAATCAAAAGGCTGATTTAACACGCAATTGTCACGGCTGGAGAGCGCAAGATTTATGTAAAGCAAATCGCAACGGGGTTTACGCTCGGCGCAATTTTCTTTTTATGAGAAACTTAGAGGAGTCGGATCTTACTGGTTACTTACAGGATTTTACTGATGTAGCTTTGGTAACGCAAAGTGTTCAACGATTGCTCCGCTACTCCGTTACGGAGATGTCACTTTGGATCTGTTTATTAATTTTTAAATGTCTTGAATATCATGACTGATAAAATGCATGCATCGGACAGAGTAAATAGTGAAAAACCCGTGAAATTTATTTATCTATCGGAGTAGAATTTATTGTGAGATAAAGAACAAAAGGGAAAACGGCAGAAGTTAGGTAAAATAAATAAACGGTCTTACCTGATCAAACCGTGATTCTCACCGTTGCAGGTTCTCCTTACATCCAAACTTTCAAAACAGACGTGAATATCTTTTCCTTCGTTTCTTTAATCACGACGTTGATATTCAAATTAAGGAAACACCTCCGAGCCGAGGATCTGGATCTCCTCCCTATTAGGAGTCCCTCGACTTTGAAGAGTGTATGATTTGTATGAGCTGGAATGCAGATTGAGAAGTTAAATAACCAGGAACCACTGGGAAGGAGAATGGGCTGGCGTGCACTTTATTATTTCCATCATTTGCAAATGATGTAGTTTATCTAGATCATAAATATGGACGTGGTGGCATATGGATTAATGTACATTTCGTTTTTAAAAATGAACTGCGCAATAAAGTGATGTTTTGGGTCCCGCGGACTCGTGGAGAAGATGTTTCTGCTTCAGCAGTATCTCGGTTTTACTACACTACGATAATTAACAGTCTATTGTTGTGAAACAACTTAGAAGTCATATATCTGTCAAGCCGGATGTGGTTTCTGCAGCTTTCTGAGACAGTATAAATGCGTTTGCTGCATTCCCCCTCACTAATGAAATAAAAGGTTACAAATGTTTAATACATTTCATCACCACGGTGTATGTCGTTTAACTCCTTTATTGACCCTATAGTACAGTGTTTTAGTCTGTCTTCGGCGATGTATAAAATAAATAAGCCTAGTAGTTTGGCTGTATTGTTTTTCCGCGGGTAGCCTACTAGAAACAGAGCTCAGTATGAACTCAAACATCTTAAGTGAGCTGGTTGTATATCGCATGGGTGAGCACCGCTTCTATGTTTGTCTTTATATATAAATATATATGTGTGTTGTGTGTGACATTGTATTAGTGGTAAAATCGCCTCTCTTCTGGGTATCGGTTTGGGGTAGGCCTACTCCACCGGGGAATCACTAACACTAGCAATTAAGTAGCCTGTCATTACTAACCTCATCTAGACTTACCAAACCATCGAGTACAAAACAATGCTTGCTTTAAACATTCAAAATGTTTTTATTACGTAAAGGAGGCAAGGACTGAGTATGACTGACACAGCTCAGGCTTCTAAGACATTTATTTCTGTTTGTTTATTATTATTATTATTATTATTATTATTATTATTATTATGAGCCATTGCGTGGGACTCAGCATGACGTTCACATGTTTTTCTTCAAACGGGTAACAAATTACATCAACTGACACCATAAGCATTACAGCGACTAGCAGAAAAGAACCACTTGATGAGGTGAAATCTGATTACTTTGTCCGTCTTTGCAGGGCTGGACTTAAAAATCGGCTCTAGACTTTATGCGATTGTTGTTCTATTTAAGAGTAATCTGAATTTGAAATTTGAGGTAATCTCCGTCGTAAAAACTGTTTTGAAATGTATTCCAACGCAAAGCGTTTAAGTTTACGTGTACTGTGTCAACGGCAGATGGTTAGCCTACATTAGAAAGACATATGCATGGTACACCTAATATGAATTTAACCACAAATTTTCTGCCCTGTATCATTATTATTATTATTATTATTATTATTGTTATTGTTATTATTAATATCATTATTATGGGTTATGTTTTTGTGAATAACATTGTGAAATATTAAAAGCTGAGTCCTACAACTTAAGTTATATGAACCCTAATACAGTAAGTGCAATGACGTAGCCTACACTGTTTATAATATTGGAGTAATAAAAATTAAAGTCTCACAATTGTAATAATAGGCCTAACAATATTAATAATAGCAATAATGATAAGAAGCGCTCTTTTGAGTTTCGGAGTTTTCTTTATTGAATAGGTAACAAAAATATAAATACGATTAATAGAATGTTCACACCCATATGTATATGTAGGCTAACACATGTAAAGTACATCATTAAAGCTCATTTACAACGAATATACTAATTAAGATTTTAATAAGATGTTTCTCTTACATTTTATTCCAATAATTAGTAATATGTCGTTACAGATTCATCACCGATAGGCGGGCTACGAAAGGCAATGCGTAGCCTCCGAAATCACTGCGCAGTTCAGGGCATTAGATTTCTCATGCCAATAAATATGAAATTTACAAGAATGGACTGTGTGACCCTGGATCACAGGAACAAGGTAGAAAACCTCTGTGGGGTTCATTTAGGTAAAACTGCATGTAGAAAACCATATGCTATCCAAAACGCGCTGGCAGCTACCCTGAACGCTTGGAAATCACAAAACATTAAAGCAGAGGCCAGTAAAATTAAGGTGTTTTGCACGGAGCTTTTCAAGGCTATATTTCTAAGAAATCGTAAATGTTAATATGTGAGCGAGAGGTTATTACAAAGAGAGGTAAGTAATGGTTTAAGGTGTCTCTATTGGCTGTGTTTTATTAAGCCAGTTCGTCGGCGTGGCCCTTGCAAGTTATGCGCTCCTTAACAGGGCATCTCTGCGGCCGCGGATCACTTTATGTGGCTAAATGACAGGGCAGGCAGAGGTCAGCAGGCACCCTGTCCTCACGCTGACTGGGATCAGTGATTTCTACAAACAGAAACTGTATTCCTTTACAACACTGCGCTTGTATGCATAAATCTAACCGCTTTACTGGGAATACCATAAATTTCACCGCTTCGGGTTTTGTCACTCATCCTTCGGCTGCAGCAGCCTGTCTGGAATCGTGCTTATTAAACGCTTATTAAACTAATATGAAATACAGACGAATAATATGCATAACGTGAAGCAAAGATTCTCCCTCCGAATATAAGGTTTAGTTGTTATATTTTTATTTACTTTTGAATTATTTGATTGCATATCCTCACTAGGGGGTTCAGTTCGCGAAATTGAGATGCGGCTTTTCCGGCTTTGTACATAAATTAATCTCCTATCAGCTTCGGGCTTTTCCAGTCTCGTGAACCCCCAGCTGCAAACGGGAGACGGCTACGCCGGTGGCCCCTTTGCTTTTCCGGCGATCTTCTGTCTGTGTATCTGGCTTAAGGACGGTGCCAAAAGATGTGTTCCGAACGCCAGACGCAAAACTGCCATCTGTCAGCAAACACGGGATGCTTCTCCGACAATGCAAACATTTTTGGGAGCGATAAAGAGATAAAACGATGTTATCTGAAGTCAGTATCGCGCTTTCTGCCTGCCTCCACCAGGATACTTAAGATAAAGATTTTTTATTGTGTTCTGATCTTCATCTGTAGAAAGAGCCTGGAGTTTTATTTTCAGACCCATTTAACATACTGGCTTCATCGGCCTTTTTAACTGCTAACTCATCAAAATTTCATACTTAACTGTGCAAATCCCTCTACTGATTTTGTACACTTTTGTACGGCTAAGTAATCTAGAACCATTAACATATAGGACACATGCACTACTGTTAAAGTGGACTGACAGCATTTCGAGCTAGATTAAATAGATTTTGTAATGAAAAATATTCACAACCAATTCAAATGCTTTGGACACTGAAGACGATGTTTCGTCTTTAAAAATACAGTTACACCTAGAGTATACAGTGGAATAATTATGACAAGCTTGCAATGCCTAGTGAGATCATATCAGCATCTACTTTGTGGCTGTGTATGTCACTATCTGTGCCCGGCCTCCCTGCCTTCCATGCTATGGTTGAGATCCTCCAGTCAAGGTAATCTTAGCACAAATGCACATGGTGGGCAGTAGCATGTCAGCCTGTAGCAGCTTGTCTGGACACAACTGACATACCCCTGGTCAGACTGGTCTACAGATTTTGCATCAGCAGCAGCCTGCTGCCAGTATAAATCCAACTGCTTTACTCGGCGTCCATAAATTCCACCCCATTGATTTTGCCTTCCATACTTCTGGTGCTGCAGCCAGTCCAGAATTGTGCATGTATTCCAGTAACTTTTTGCAGATAATACAGTATATAAAGTACAAGTGATGTGAAATGTTGGCAAGTTACATTCATAAAGTCAAGCAAAGATTCTCCCCTCCAAGTATGTGTAGTTTTATCTAACAGTATTTTTTTTTATCAGTATACTTTTAGAAGAAAGGGTAAAAAAAGTTGTGCCTTTGCTTGTCACTGGGGTTGTACCCTCAAGGGTCTGCAAATTGTACCCTTAGCTCTAGGTAATTGTAGCTTTTAAGGTACAGAAATGGACTCTGAGGAACATTTTTGTACCATCGATGGTACATTAATTCTGTTTTTACCTCAGAGTTCATTTCTGTATCTTAAAAGGTACAATTACAAATCTTTACCCTTTTTTCTTAGTGTGATATGTAGAGTTGTGGTCACTAAATTGTGTTAGCTCTCCTGAATAATGACACAGACACGTGGGAAAAAAATGCAGATAAGCAGAAATTAAGGATGTTTAGTTGACAGATTTTGTAAAGAGCAGCCACATGGTACTGTTCAAACGGGAAAAGCCGATGTTTCACAGTGACCAAACAGGCACTTTATCAAATTTAGGAACCAAAAACTGAAACACGTTTCATGTGGACATAAAATCTCCTGAGGAAAATAATTTTAAAGTCTGATTTACAGTACCTCCTTGTGAGGCTACTCTCACTAGGTCATGTGACCAGGAGAAACCCCTAAACCTGCACCCCCTGCTGGCAGCTGCCTCGTCTCCCAGGGAAAGTAGAAGGTTCATCCGACGTCCGGGGATGGCGACGGTCAGTAATGTTTCTGGGGCCCGAGGCTCTTCGCTCACATGCCGCCTCCCAGTTTGTTCTTAACCTTCCATTCTGTCCAAGTGTTAATATTCTTGTTTTTGTTGTTATCATCTGTGGCTAAGCTCACATCTTCATCCAAAGGGACCTACAAATTTGCCCATTTATACAGCCAGATATTTTTACTGGAAGAGTTTGGGTTTATGACACTATCAAGAGTACAACAGCAGGAATCTCCTGTGATTGGACTGGCAGCCTAAAGTGAACAAGTCTGTCTCCTGGCCACCTGCTGTCTGAAGTATATAAATTAAGCATGCCTGTCCTATGTTCAGACCTTGTCTTTCTGAGCCTCCATTCATCACTCGCAGTGACCTGAGTCTGGGTTATTTGACTCACCTGTTAATTATTAATGATTAAGTGCCTTGCTGTATTAACTGGTTGGGCAATAAAACTGTTGGCAATGTGGCCCACATGAACCTGGTTTGGGGCACAGCTTGCACAAATGAATAAAGGCTTAGAGGATTCAAAAAACACAACAAGACCATTAACATCTCCCAGAACTGGAAGTGTCCTTTGAGGATTGTAGCTGTACATTTTCCTGGATGTTCCTGGATCTATTTGGATGTTCATATTATTCACAGTTTTTTTTTTTTTTTCAATAACACTTTTCTGGGCAAATTTTCTCAAACGAGGATTTAAACATGTCGTCGGCCAACATGCTGGAATGAAGCGGCCTGGTCTGTTTTAAAGGCTGCTGTTGTACTCTGAGCATCTCATGCACTC